CATCCTTGTGACTTATTGACTTTGTAACTGGAAGTTTGTCACTCTTCATTCCCTTCACCATGAGGGATCTGGGAATATTCCACAACCAGTCGCCATCGTGATTTCGCTTCACTGAAAGCCTCCTACTTTCAAAGGAACTGCTAGTGACAACATACGCTCATATATCCCGGTATTCATTTTTCCACGGCTTCAACTACTGCTTAAATGCTGACGCTTCCCAAAATTAACTTTAGTGCAGATCTCTCCTGAGCTGTAATTCCTTACTGATGCCTTGATAGGCCCTCAAACTACACACACCTCAAAATAGACTCATTCTGTCTCCCTTTCAAGTCACCTCCCAAATGTGTTTTTCCTTCCCCAATTCATATTAAAAAAGAATGCCTGCTCTATCCATTGACCACACCCTCTTTTTTGCTTCTTTCTTACGAGTTCAGTCACCAAATCTGCCCGCAACATCTGCTAACCATCGCCCACTACTATCTACCATTCTCTACCCAGCTGCTTCCTTATTCTCCTTGGTTGTATTCCAAACTCCTCTAAAAAGCTCTCCCAGGCTTTGGTTCCTTCCCTCATAACACACCGTTCACACTGCAGCCAGAACTGTGTGCCTAAAAATGCTGCATTTCACTTCCCTATTCAGAAAACTTCCTCGGTGTCCTTGGCCACTGCAGGGACCTGAAGTCCTTCCCGGTCTGACTGATGGAGAGGACTCCATCTCATCCTTCTGCTTCTCTACTGCATCCTCATCTCCAGCCGTGGAAGACTGACAAGCTTGCCCCCTATGCCTCCGTGTGCGCTCCTGTCACTGCCTGGACACCCTTGGTCTCCTTTCCACCCAGCCTGCACTCAACCCTGAAGACCCAACTCTACGGCTGCATCTTCTGCAGCATTTCCCTGCGACCCACGCAGATGCAGACGTTTCCCCTCGATTTCCACTCAGTTCTGTAGATGAGAGCCCTTTAATGGGCTTGTTACATAATTTTTTGTGTCTGCCTCATTAAACTGTGAGCTCACTGAAGATCAAATTCTTGGCTGACTTGGGTCCTGAGGGCCCAGGGTAGTCAACACAGCAGTGTTTGGGCAGTGTCTGCTGGTGACATGACTGAGCACATGGGGCTGTGGCAACAGGCATGTTCAGTTTAGAAGAAGCTTTTAGAAGTCTCTTTATTTTAGTCAACAAGTGTTTACCGAGCACCAAGTGGGATACATAGATGCAGAGATGGTCCTTCCCCTGTGGCAGTTTTAATCTAGTCAAGAAAATAAGGCATATCCGTGTGTGTGTGTGTGTGTGTGTGTGTGTGTGTGTCTACTATTTAAAATAAGTGGAAACAGGGGCACCTGGTTGGCTCAGTCAGTTGAGCGTCTGCCTTTGGCTCGGGTCATGATCCCAGAGTCCTGGGATCGAGCCCCGCATCGCTCCCTGCTCAGCGGAGAGCCTGCTTCTCCCTCTCCCTCTGCCTGTCGCTCAGCCTACTTGTGCTCTCTCTCTATCTCTCTGTCAAATAAATAAATAAAACCTTTAAAAAAAATAAGTGGAAACAGAGAGAAGTGCATGGACTTGTATACACTGGGTATATTTCAGATGAGTCAAAATGTACGAGTAAACTGTCATCTGGAGTCTAAAAAGACATTATTATTCAAGTAGAAGAGTGGTTATCTACAGAATTATTAACATTAAGAAACTCATAATTAATACTACATAATAAAAAGTAAAAGGAAGATTTTAGAATAAACCTGGAGAGCTGGAATACTCTTTTATTCATAGAAGGAATACCTAATGCATTTGGATCAATCACCTTGGATCAAGACCAAACTAACCCTGCAGGATAATGATTGATAGAATGGATTTTCGGCTAGAGATATTTCCTAGCTTTACCAACCATCAGTTATGAAGATAAAACTAAAAAACACCTTAGAGAAGCCCAACCAAGATTCTCAGACTTTGTGAAAAGGAGTCCAGACATTGGAACTTCCTGAGATCATTTCCATTGTAAGTAACCATCAATATGCTGAAACTGTCTTATCAATAGGATTGTGTGTGTGTGTGTGTGTGTGTGTGTATAACCCTTTCATACAGTGGTGTGCTGGTAAACACCTCACAAGTTCTTGGGGAGAGAGCACTGACTATATTTGCCAACTTCTGTGGTGTGAATGCTCCCATCATGGCTGATTTCAAGCTATTAACCTGATGTCACTGAGCATGAGGTAGGAGATCACAGTTGGTTCTTGCAAGCTGGTATGGATGGGCTCCAACATACTATCATTTTCATGAGTCATTTAGTAAGCCTATTGAAAATCAGAATGCCATATTTATAAATCCACGTGTCCAGGACATATCTTGAGCTGTTCTTTGTAAGAATTTCTCATTAAAGAGATCTTCTCCTTTTTACTTAGCATATGGATAAATTTCAAGAACTGAAGAGTTAGCAGGTGTCAGAAACTGAACACAGGAGCTGAGGAAGTCAGAGATGATCATAAGTGTTGGAAAAATGGTGGTGTACTGACAGAGACAGGGAGTGAGGTGGGGAGCCAGTTGGGAATGAAGAGGTTGTCGCTTTGCTTTCCCAGGTTGAAGACACATCCTATTTGGAGAGCTGGGGGCACTGTATTGAACAGAGGTTAGACATTGTTCCTGCAGATAGAGAATTATCTATGGAAGTCAGAGAAGAGGTCAGGACACAGAGGCAGCTATGGAGGAAAAATGCAGTGATACACATCAAATATCTGGTCAGATATTGGGTTTTTTGGAGATCTGGAGGAAGACAAACCAATTGACAAGATGTAGTTAAGTAAATAGGAAAAATAAAAAACATCAAGAAACATCATGAAGGAGAATGATGAAGGTAGACAAAATGGTCAACTACTCCATCAAAGCCAAGAGAGTAAAGAATGAGGAACAAGGGAAGCCTGGGTGGCTCAGTCGTTAAGCATCTGCCTTCAGCTCAGGTCATGATCCCCAGGGTCCTGGGATCGAGCCCCGCATCGGGCTCCCTGCTCTGTAGGAAGCCTGCTTCTCCCTCTCCCACTCCTCCTGCTTGTGTTCCCGCTCTCGTGTGTCTCTCTCTGTCAAATAAATAAAATCTTTAAAAAAAATAAAGAATGAGGAACAATTTTACTGGATTTCCATCAGGGAACAGGGCCACACAACAGGCTGAAAGGGGTCCGTGGATCACAGAAGTCCACCATTTGGGAAGACTGCCCCATACATGAGTCAATGCTCCCTTCTTAGAACTTGAAATGCAGTGTAAGAATCAAAGGCTTCTTCTTGCCCGAAACTCAGTTCAGATCTAAAAACTAATGAGCCAATGAATGAACAAAGCCCAAACATGCCATGAATAGAGCTAGTGTCGGGAAGGGGGACTATTCCAGCTGCAGGCTGAGAGGTCTGGCTCGGTGAAAACTGGGAATTCTGGCACGGCTCCTCAGCCTCTCTCTGTCCAGGGTTAGTGGCCCGCTGTAACGCAGAGAGGCCTCACCCAGAACCACAAGACGGATGGCCGCCCCCACGCGAGCCAGCCCGGGGCAGAAGGACTAGTGTGGCAGAAACCTTCGGAGAGGGCGGCAGGGTGGCATCAGAACCTCTGCCAGAGCAAAGCAATTCTGCAATGAAAGGAAATCTCAACAAATAGGAGAAAAGCTGAACCCAGTAGGAAACCCAGTGTGTGTGCCTGACTGGACCCGAGGCTGCATGTTGGCTTTTAGTTTCACAGGCTGAGGCTGGCTCTGCCTTCCTGAGCTGTGTGCACGCCCACCCTGCCTCCTGGACAAAGGTTTTCTGGAGATGCAGCTTTGGCTGGGAACGGGGACGATGTCTTGACTGCGCTTGGGCTGATCTCTGGGGATGACCGCCAGGTTGCTCAGTGGTAGCCTAGGAAACCAACTCACCTGAGCTCCAGCCCAGCTCACGTGGGCAAACTTCTCTTCTGTCTCCTCTTGTTTCTTCTTGCAAAAAGCCTTCTTTTTTTTTTTTTAAAGGTTTATTTATTTATTTTAGGGAGAGAGAGAGCGAGCACGGCTGGAAGGGGCAGAGGGAGAGAGAGAATCTCAAGTAGACTCCCCGCTGAGCACGGAGCCCAACACGGGGCTCGAACTCACAACCCTGAGATCATGACCTGAGCAGAAACTGACAGCTGGATGCTTAACCGACTGAGCCACCCAGGCTCCCCCACCCCGCAAAAATGCTCCTAATTAATGATTTGCTTGTCCTTGTTAGCAGGCTTGAGCTTTTCTAAAGATCATCACTTCAACAACACTTTGCATTTCCCCTGACTTTGCAAAGAATCTTGGGGAAGAATATTTACCTGTTCAGAGCTTGGGAGAGCTCCAGGACCTGTCAGCGATCTCATGGCCACTGGCCACAAGGATACTCTGAGCCAGGCAGGAAAACCAGACACAGAGTCAGGAAGTAGCTTCCCACTGAAGTACAGTAAAAAATTGGGTCATTGTGAGTTAAAGCTGGGCAATGCTCCATGGTTTTAGGGGATGAAAGATTTCACAGAAGAGGGAAGCTCAGACGTGGATCCAGGATTTGAGAGCAAGGACAAGAGCAAAGACACAAAGGCAAGCTGGGGCGGACGTGCTTAACGGTGTTACTTTGATGATACAGAGTCAGCAACTGCAAATTCACTGTTCACAGAAAGAACGGAGAGGGCGGGAAGCACCATCACTCTCCGCTCTAAAAGGCCAGTGAGAAGCCATGGCCATGACATCTGCTTCCAGAGCCCTTGTAGGACTGTAGGATGAGGTGAGCACAGCGGGGTTTGACCATGCCCAGCCCTGAACGCAGGGCTCGGGGAAGTCCAGGAATGCCAGAAAGCGCCCTTTCCTATTGGTCGAGATGATTTCTGATGTCAGCTTGCCTCTCTACCCCCACTGGGGGCCCCCAGGTTAGGTACCCCAACCACAGGCTTCCGGATCATCTTGCGGAGGACAGGTTTAGAGTCTGAAGCAAAGACGGGGCAAAAAAGAGGAGGAACCATGAGGTGGGCAATGGCCCTTACCTTTGACCAGTCTCCCACAGTGACATGTGGAGGGCAGTCTGTCCTGGCACAGGACTTATGGGAAGATGCCTTGGGTCCTTGGCACAATTCATCAGAGAGATTCAAAAAGCTGCCATCAGTTAACAGCTGCCGACAGGTGACTCTTCGATTGTGAGTTCCCCCTCCACACGTCCTGGAACACTGAGAAGGTGGAAGGAGGGGGGTCAGGGCTCTTGCAGCCACAAGTGTGGCGGGCAATGGGGGCCCCAGGCCTGCCATATTACCTGCTGCCATTCTTCAATGTGCCAGCTAGGAGGGCAGTCAAACTGATTGCACGCTTGTAGGGCATGCGGCTTCTCATCTCCACATTCCTCAGTGGGGGCCGGGGACTCCCCAGGGTGCAGGCAGTATACCTCTCGGGTCTGGATTCCCACACCACAGGTAGCTGAGCAGGGGCCCCAAGAGCCGGTGTGCCACCTGTACCAAAACACAACAGGGCAAGTCAAAGTGTCCCGTGAGACCTCGTGCAACGGTCAGAGCATACACAATTTCAAGTTCTCGGGACGTCCAGACTTCCTGCTCCATGTGCAGACCCGAGAGCCACAGCATCCCCACTACTAGATGCGATGAAAATACAGAAACCTAACGTTTAAAGAAATGTTGGTAGTGTTTAAAGGTTCTACCCATTTGGGAAAGCCCAGAGTACAAAAGAAGCAGATTTCTCCCCATTCTAGCATACCACCATCTATCCATAATAAAAGCTTGGGTTTTGTTTTGAATAGAGCCCCAAGGCAAGCATGATTTATATGGATGTCAAAAGAAATTTTAAATGCTTAGAAGCACACTTCAGGAAATTTTCAGGGCACCTGGATTCATTATTTGGAATATCCCTAAGAAAATTCTTCTCTGTTAGGATTGGATTTACAACACGTGTATATATAATGTGATTCCTTTCCAATAAGATCTTGGAAAAATCAGGTTTTCTCATGAAACATCTGTAAAAATGAAAAACCAGGGCAAGCTGCTTTTGATACATATTTCCAAATTGCATTCAAGGAAGATTCTCTCAATTCACACTCCCAGCAGAAGCATGTGAGAGCGCCTGGCTTCCTACCCCTATACCAATACTGGACCATATCCCTGCCCATCTGATGGGTGCAAATTTGTACATTATAGTTATCTTAATTTGTGGGTATGTAATTATTAGTGAACATGGATTTCTAACCAGTTACTGTAGAGCTATATCATGAGGAAACAAGTTTAAAATGCTTAAAATTGACACAAAAGGATGTTTGCTCCAAGATAGTTTGTAATAGAAAAAAAAAAAAAAATTAAATTTTACAAAATGGAAGGAAACAATCAAAATGTTCTACAATAAAGGGTAAAATAAATAATTGTATATTCATACAGTATAATGCTAGCAGCCATTAAAAAACAAAGTAGAAGTATAGTTATTGACACAAATAAATTTGGTATTTTTTATTAGAAAACATAAAAAATACCTTATGATATTGTTTTATGCATTTATAAATGCAGAAAAAAGGTCTGCATAATTACACATCCAAATGTTAACAGTGATGATCTCTAAATGATAGGATTTTTATTTTCTTCATTCTTGCCAGTATTTTCCCCTGAATTTTCTTAAAATAAACACTCATTATTAGAAAAAGTAAGTTAGTTCTTTGAAAAAAAAATAGTGTTAATTTAAAGGTGAATTTCAGCTTTTCTGATTTCTTATTTTCCATAATAAACATGTTTTACTTGTGTAAATAAGAGGAAAAATAAAAAATGAAAAATATTTGAGACAAATATAATGGGACAAAAATATTAAAATTTTTACTTATGAAGACAAAAGTTCACAATGAGGTATAATAATCATACAAGTATGAAGACTGAGTAAAAAGCATAAATATGTATGAAGTACAGCTCTTAGATATAAGAAAAATGGAAGGATAAGTAATAAAAATTTTTAAAGGTTATAAAATACTTCTCTATGCCCCTGATATATAAAGAAGGCAAACCTTAATAAGAATAGAGAAAATTGGGGCACCTGGGCGGGCTCAGTTGGTTAAGCATCTGACTATTTTGGTTCAGGTCATGATCTCAGGATCATGGGGTGAAGCCCCACATCAGGCTCTGCAGTCAACGGGGATTCTCTCTCTCCCTCTCCCTCTGTCTCTACCCCCTCCTGTGTTTTTTTCTCTCTCTCAAATAAATAGATCTTTAAAAAAATAATGTAGAAAACTAACGCATTTGAACAGCTTGATTAAATAAATAACTTTTTAGGAAATTACAGAAGTTCTATTCAAGAAAGGGACTAGAGGGCGCCTGGGTGGCTCAGTTGGTTAAGCGACTGCCTTCGGCTCAGGTCATGATCCTGGAGTCCCGGGATCGAGTCCCACATCGGGCTCCCTGCTCAGCAGGGAGTCTGCTTCTCCCTCTGACCCTCTTCCCTCTCGTGCTCTCTATCTCTCAAATAAATAAATAAAATCTTTAAAAAAAAAAAAGAAAGGGACTAGATCCTGTTAACTTTGTGGTTGAGTTCCCACAAATTTCCAAGAAACAGGTGAATTCCCCATGTCATTTTAAAAGTTCCAAAGTGAAAAAGAAGATTAAAATATTTTAATGCATCATGAAGGTAGGAAAAACCTTGAGCACAAAATCTGACAAATATATATAAAAAGTTTTTTGCATATAATTATATAGTCTAAACCCTAAATAAAAGAGAAGTATAAATCCTAAGTAAAACAGAAGCAAGTTAATCAAAGGATTAAAATACTACATAGTAAAAAAAAAAAAAAGTACTACATAGTATATGCTATGGACTGAATGGTTATATCCCTCCCCAAATTATTATTATGTTGAAGTCCTAATCTCCAGTGTGACGGTATTTGGAGACTGGGACTTTAGGAGGTAATTAGGGTTAGATAAGGTCGTGAAGGTAGGACCCTCATGATGGGATTAGTGCCCTTATCAGAATAGAAACCAGAGAGCTTGCTCTCTCTTTCTGCCAATAAGAGGACACAGAGAGAAGGCAGCTGTCTGCAAGTCAGGAAGAGAGCTCTCATCAGAAACTGTGCCCTGTTGGCACCTTGATCTTGGACTCTTCAGCCTCCAGAACTGTAAGAAAATAAATTTTGTTGCTTAATCTACCCAATCTATGATATTTTGTTATCACAAGTTGAACTGATTAATAAGGTATGTTTTCTGACCATGGTGGAACTGTATTAGACAATCACCAAATATTTAAAAGTTATGCAATAATCATCTAAATTACTCATGGGTCAAAGGAGAAACCACAATGGAAATAAACAGCTCTTCTTAAATGCAGGTTACTAAAAATATGAAGTGCAAAAATCTGTGGAATGCAGCTAAAGCCATGATTATAAGGAAATCAATAGCCTTAAATGAATATTTTTTTACAATATTTTTTTACAATATTTACAATATGTAAAAAGAAATGCTGAAAATCATAATCTAAGTATCCATTTCAAGCAGTTAAAAAATACAGTAAATTAAACCAAAAAAAGGAGAAAAGAGGAACAAAATATATGAGAACAGATATGAATGAACCCAAAAATAAAAGTTGCCTCTTCAAAAGACTAATAAAATTGATAAATTCATGATTTATGAAGAACAAAAAATATGAACCATAAATTACCAACATCAAGAATTAAAGAGAGAATCTCAAAGGCATTAAAAATAAAGAGTATATGTGTGTGATGAAAATCACTATATGTCAATAAATTAAAAAATTTACATAGACTGAAAATATTCCTAAAAAAAACAACTTATCAAAACTAACACATAAATGTAGAAAAATCTGACTAGTCCTATATCTATTAAATTAAATTTGTAAGTTAAAATATTTATTTTTATTTTTTTTAAGATTTTATTTATTTGATAGAGAGAGACACAGCGAGAGAGGGAACACAAGCAGGGGGGGTGGGAGAGGGAGAAGCAGGCTTCCCGCCGAGCAGGGAGCCCGATGTGGGCCTCGATCCCAGGACCCTGGGATCATGACCTGAGCCGAAGGCAGACACTTAATGACTGAGCCACCCAGGCGCCCCAATTTAAAATATTTAAAAAATAAACTCAAGTGTCAGATACCTTCCTTGGTGAATTATTTAAGGCATAAATAATTCCAACCTTACATAAACTCTCCAGAAAACATAAAAAGAAGGAAAACTTTCCCAACTCATTTAGGTCAGTGTCACTCCTAAACACAGATGTAAAAGTCCTAAACCAAATATTAATAATGAAGTGATATATATAAAGAATATTATTACATCATGACAAACTTGGGCTTATTCCAGAAAGGCAAAGTTGTTTCAACCTTGGAAAATCAATCAGTGTTTATGATATTAACAAAACATAGGAGAGAAATCATGTGATCATTTCAATAGAGGCAGAAAAACATTTGATCAATTTCAACAGCTATTCATGATTGAGAACTTTCTTAATCTGAATAAATGCATCCCAAAAAAGCAAGTGGTGGCGGTGGGGTGAAGCAGGAGAATACAGCAAGATATCTGCATTCTTCTCTGTTTCAAAAAAAATAGCTATGATAGTTAACGAAAGTCATAAGGGTAAAGCTCTTTTCCCATACAAAACAAACATCTCAGTAAACTAGAAATCAATTGGAAGCACAGTGCTAAAATTGACTAAAGTTGTTTAGGTTTAGTGGATGCCAGGATTGGAAATTTGCAATGGCAGCTGGCTGTTCAATTTGTATGGGGAAATTAAAGAGCACCACAGTGAGGGGGTGACTGAAACACAGTGAGGGAGTCACTTCTAGAAACACAGTAGGGCAAGACTCCCTGACCCATAATTGAAGGCTAGAAAAATCAGCCTGTGTGTGTGGCTGGAATTGATCAGCTGCCTGGGATAACATAAAAGAATGGAGATAACCTGGAGCCTGCTTAATATTTTTAAGGATTTATTTATTTATTAATTTATTTGAGAGAGAGAGAGAGAGAGAAGGGGGATGGACATAGGGAGAGGGAAAGATAATCTCAAACAGACTCTGTGCTGAGCACAGAATCTGATGCAGGGCTCGATCTCACGACCCTGAGATCACGACCTGAGAGGAAACCAAGAGTCAGACTCTTAACCAACTGAGCCACCCAGGCATCTCTTGAGCCTACTTATTGAGCCAAACTATCATATAATACTCTGGGAGGCGTTCTGCAATATTTCACCTGGGAGGAGAGCCTAAAGGAAATAATATGAAACCTAGTCAAGATGTGAGGATCTTGGGGAGAGGTATTCATTCAAGTAAGCAGAAAACCCCCAGATAGGAACGTATAACTCCCATTCAATATAAGCTTGCAAACCAAAGGGTCCAAGGAGAGAAAAAAAAAAAAATTAATGACACGAAGATAGCAAACACACAACATATGAGAGAATTCTCCCCTGAAGAAACAGAAATAACAACAGCACTACTTGTATAGCATGTTCTATTTCCCACATTTGGT